CCAAGCCCTGGGCACTGACAGCTCTTCCCACCACTTCCCCACCTACCTCAGCGTATCAAGGAAGGCAGTGTGATCGACCACATGCAGCTCATCAGTGTGGGCGACATGATTGAGGCCATCAACGGGCAAAGCTTGTTAGGCTGCCGGCACTACGAGGTGGCCCGGCTGCTCAAAGAGCTGCCCCGAGGCCGAACCTTCACGCTGAAGCTCACAGAGCCCCGCAAGGCTTTTGGTGAGTGAAGTCCAGACTGCAATCCCGGGAGCCGCCAGTATGTGGCACCCAAGGCCAGCGGGCCACAGAGGAAACCATGACAGCCCCACCCTGCCCCTGGGGTGGGGGACAGAGGCGGGGGCTGGCCTTCCGCCCAGCCTTGGGGTAGGGCGGGGGTGAGGAGGAAGCTGCCCCCACACCCAGCTTCTAGGAGCCATTCGTCCAGCCAAGTGCCCCCCAACCCTGGCCAGCCCCCCAGCCCAAAGGAGCCAGGCTTGGCTGCACCATGCCAGCCCCCACCACCACCACCACTTCAATGACTGGCTTCATTGACTCTCAGGAATGGGCCTGAGGCCCCTTGGGTGGGGGTGGGGGACACTAAAGCCTTTCCTGGCAGGTAAGGCTGGCTGTGGTCTAGCAGCTATATGCTCCTTGGCTGTGGAGGGGGCAGCTGCGGGCCCAAGCTCCACCCCCTTCCTGTGCCAGGCCCCTGGGAGCAGGAGGGGCCCCCTCTAGCCCTTTCTGCCCCCAGCCTCTGGCTGCCCATGCCCGTGCCCAAACCAGGTGCCCTGCCTTCCAAAGCCAACTTCAGCCCTATGGAGAAGGGCAAGGGGTGGGATCTGGGTTCTGCTGGGAAGGACTCTTCCAGCCCTCACCCCCTCCCTGCCCTCAACAGACATGATCAGCCAGCGTTCAGGGGGTGGCCGCCCTGGCTCTGGCCCATCAGTAGGCACTGGCCGAGGGACCCTGCGGCTTCGATCCCGGGGCCCAGCCACCGTGGAGGATTTGGTGAGTGTTTCGGCCACACGTCCCTCCCTCCCCACCCCTCCAGCCCTGTGCACATTCAAATGCCACCCCTCCCCCTTTCGTACTCTGAGACTTGAGCAAGAGCCTCAGATTCCCAATCTATAAAATGGTGTGTAATAGTAGCAATACCTTCCCCTCAGGGCTGTTGCCAGGATTAAACACGATTTAAGTAAGTGAATAGCTAAGGGAGGCCTGGGGGCTGGTGAGTATGTTGTGTTTATGTTAGTTTGGGATACCTGGTGGTCCTGTGGATTAGGCATGGGGCTGCTTACTGTAGGATCGGCAGTTCAAACCCACCAGCTGCTCCTCGGGAGGAAGACTGTGCTGTCTGCTCTGGGAAAGGTGTCCTGCTGTGGAAACCAGCCCACTGGGGTTGGTTTCAGTCGGAATCCACAAGATGCCAATAGGCCTGAGGTTTTTGTGTCACTCCCCAGCCCTCGGCCTTTGAGGAGAAGGCGATTGAGAAAGTGGACGACCTGCTGGAGAGTTACATGGGCATCAGGGACACAGAACTGGGTGAGTGGGGGACCTGGGGCAGGGAGGACTCGGGAGTCGGGCAGCGCAGAGGCTTTGATGGGCCCCGTGGGCGGGATCTCTGTCCCCATGGACCAGCCGTCTGTGTCTCCATTCTGCCTTCCCACCCCAGCGGCCACCATGGTGGAGTTAGGCAAGGACAAAAAGAACCCGGATGAACTGGCCGAAGCCCTGGACGAGCGGCTTGGTGACTTCGCCTTCCCTGACGAGTTCGTCTTTGATGTCTGGGGTGCCATCGGGGACGCCAAGGTTGGCCGCTACTAGGCCATCATGCCCTGGACCTTGCAATGACGTGGGCTTGGCCTGGGGACCTCAAGAGGGGCCACCGGGCCCCGGGCCCTACCCAGAGGGTGGTGTGGAATAGAGGTGTACCTGCCCCACATCAATCGGTACCACTCCCTCCTCGTTCCCCAGTATAGCCGGGGTCCCCAGGCCCTCCACCCTGCCCCCCACCTACCTCAGCCCGGTTAGGCGCTGCAGGAAGGGATCTGCCAAATTGAGCGGCTGTCCCCGCCCACAACTTTCCACATCAGCTGCCAAACTGGCCCCTCTGTCTCCCTGGGGCCTTGGGTTCTGTTTGGGGCCGCGACCTCCTCAGTTGCCTGACGCAGGGAATGTAGAAGGGGGGCACCACCACCACCCCCTCAGCAGATGCAATAATATCCTCCCTTCTGCTACCACCACCCCCCCAAAGGAGCCCCTCACCCTGAAGTCTGTTACCTCTGAATTTGAATGAGTCTGCTGTGAACCCCACCCTCCCCTGCCTCTCCCCACCACCTAGCCTGGACCTGCCTGGAAGGGGGGACTGGGCGAGGGCGATGGGCTTTTGTATCGGACTTTACGGTCGGACCATAAAGAATCTATCTGCTGTTGGACCTGTGTGCGCTGAGCGGGCGGGAGAGCGGGTGCGCTGGGGCTGGGAAAGAATGCAGCAGCTGAAATCCATCCTCTTGGGCTCCAAATTTAATTAGAACAGCCCACCCCCTCCCACCGTTCCGCTTGATGAGGCGCCTGGCTGTGGGCCATGGGCTTCCAGGCAAAGCCTTCGGAGGGTTCAAATCCCACTCTCTCCGACGGGCTTGACCCTCCTGGGCTCCAGTCAGTCTGGTGTCATGTGGGCATAAAGCTGCTGTATGTGGTCCTGGGGCCGGGGGGGGGGGGTACCCCAGTCCTGGGGGGCAAGAGGGCAACCAGGCACAGCTTGGAAAAGGGGCAATCAAGCAAACAGCCCTACGGAGAAGCCTCAGGCCTGTGCTGGCCAGAACTGATGGAGAGAAGCTGATGCCCCAGCCCCTCCCAGGGTGCCTGTGGCTCGGTACACTGCCTTCCTCTGCATCCATCCTCGGAGAGGGGAGGCTCCAGACAGCCCTGCTCTCACCCGCAGAACTGGGGGCTCCTGCAACTGCCTGTCCCACCCCCAGCATAGAGGGGGCTCTTAACCCTGACCTGTCCCATCCTCAAGATAGAGGGGCCTCCAAACCCCGACACCCGCCCCACCTCCAGGACTGAGCTGCCCTGCCCCACCCCAGCAGATTCCTAGACGGCCAGGGTCTCTGGCTTCCAGGCCCAAGATGGTTTGCCACGGCCATAAAACCCAGCTTGCTTGTTTTGACAACTCACTTGATCCTGTAGGGGTGGGGGGGAGGGGGCAGGGAACGGGGGTGGGGTGGGTGGTGGGACCCCAGCCAGACCTGGAGGGGAAGTGCTGGAGCTGAGGCAAGAGCTGGGCCAGAGGTTCTTGCAGGAATGTCGGGGGTGGGGGGTGGGGAGCTGAGAGGCTGTGGTGAAGCCTGAGCCCGCCCACCCACTTGCTCCCCACACCCAGTAGGGCCATGGGTGGCTGTGAAAGGGCGCACGTGCTGGGCGGCAAGGTGGAAGCTCCACCACATCCTCACGGGCTGGCTGCTGGGGGCGGCCACTGCTGTTTTCTCCCCACTCGCACCAGTAGAGGTTGTAAGACCATGAAGGGGTGGCCATCGGTGCCGAGGTCTGTGACTTGTGTGTTTCGGGCAAGGGGTGTGGCGACTGAGTGTTGGTGTCCCAGGGTGAACATGGTACGGTGTGAGGGTGGGTCTTGGATGTTCAGGGGAGGGGTGGTCCCCTACGTCTTGGGGTCCCTCCCATGCAGAGTAGGCGTGTGCCTGGATGTTGCCGGGGTGGCAGGCTAGGGCCCAAGGTCATGAGTGGTGTGTCAGTGTGGCTTTTTCTGGGAAGGAGGCGAGTGTCATCTTGTGGTGCTCAGGGGTGTGGCGTACACCTGTTTGGGTTAGGGGGTGTCATCCAGATGACAGGGAGGGTGATGATGATGAGGCTTCCCAGTACCTAGAGCAATGCTTGCTTCCTTGGGGGCTGGGCTTTAGGAGGTTGAGAGGAGTGACCCCATTCAGCGCCATGCTGGGGACAAAGTGGCCTCAGTGAGCAGGGACTGCTGATGACTGGTGTGGGGCTGGGGACAGGTGCCGAAGCAGTGAGGTCTCAGGGTGTGACTGGATGGGTACCCGGGACAGGTGTCAGGCCAATTCATCCCAAAGTGGAACCTAGACCCTGGGGGAACGATGGTGGGCTGGGGGGAGTCCCTCGTAGCCAGACCTCCTGACTCCTTTCCCTCTTCGGCCACCTCCCCCTTTCCCTCCAGGGTATGACTTGCAGGGCCCAGGGCTTGGGCTTAAGGCCCTGTGTAAATAGTGGGCGGATCCACTGGCCAGGCTAGGCCTGACCTCATGTACTGGGTCTCACCCAAAGCCCTGCCTTCTGCCAGGCACCCTAACAGCCATGAAACCACCTGGGCGCGGGTGCCCATGCGCAGCGCTGGCCCCCCCAACCCCACAGCCCCACTAAAGGCAGTGACACCCCCCAAAGCTGCCTCAGGCCACACTCACAGTTTCCAGTGTTTAGATGTTATCCGCTTTATTAATGAAGCAATGAGAAGCCTGCCTGCAGGAAGAGGGGGCTGCTCCTGCCCTGTCAGAGAGGGGAGGGCTCTCGGCGGCCAAGCCAAATCATGGCAGGAGTTGGGGCCTGGAGGGGCTCCTTGCCCGTTGCCAGAAGAGCAGAGAGGGGTCTCTACTGCCCTGGGCCCCCCAGTGGGGGCAAAGGCCAGAGCACCCCTGGAGGCGGGCAGGGGCAGGCAAGCTGGGAGCCTAGGACCCGCCCCAGAGGGAGGGAAGGAAGAAGGGGGGGTGTGGAGTGGGCGGGCGCGGCTTGCCGAGAGGCAGGGCACAGAGGGCCAGGCGCAGCGCAAGCCAGCAGCAGGGCCCTTGTGGCAGGCGATGGGGACCCAGGGTCCCAGGCAGCGCCGGGTAAGAGGCTGGGGCGCAAGTCTCAGGTGGGGAAAGAGGCTGGGAGAGAATGGGAGAAGCGCCAACTCCGCCCGGCTGGCCTAGGATTTCCTCTGCTCCCAGCCCCATCTGTCTGTTGGCTTACCATCTGTCTGCCCTCCCTGTCCATCTGGTTCACCACCGGGATAGGGCGGAATGGACCATCCAGGGTCGGCCTTGAGGCCTCCTGCTCCTCAGCCCCACCCCTGCTTCCTGACATGGGGGGGACAGGAGTGGAACTGTGGCCACCCAGGGTGACGGCATGGTGGTCAGGGGCAGGGCCTGGGTAAGAGAGGGCCTTGGGCATAGAGATGAAAGAGACCATGGGAGACACATCGTGGGACAGAGATGTGGCCAAGGGGACAGAGACAGGATTATAAGGACAGAGATGTGGCTCTGGGAGAGAGATGGAGCTATAAGGCTGATGTGGCTTTAGGGGGATCGGTAGGGGACACTGGGGGACAGAAAAAGGGCCATGGGGACAGAGGGGGCTGAGGGGGCTAGTGAGGCCATGGGAGACAGGGATCTGGTCATGAGAATAGAAATGGCCCTGGAAATAGGAGATTTTGCTGTCAAAACAGAGATGGAGTCATGGGGACAGGGAGTTAGAGAAGGTGCGGGGGGTGGGGGGTGTGTGCAGCAGGCTGTGAGAACATAGATGTGGGCATGGGAACAGAGGGGGTGTGGGCAGCAGAGCTGGGGTGAGCTTCAAGGATGGGGCTGTAGTGAAGGTTGCTGAAGGTCAGAGATAGAGTGGGGTTGGGTTGGCCCTTGGAGTCAGAAATCCATCCAAGGTCTGCATTGTGTGTGTAAAGCGGTATGCATCATGCACTCGTGTGTGTTTATATGCAGGCGTGTGCACTTGCACACGCACAGACTGATGTGAGGATGGGAAGGTAGGGGGCAGAGGTAGGGCTGGGGCACAGGCACAGAAGGGCAACGTCTAGGATTCTGGGAGAGGGCCGAGATGGGTGGTGGTAGGCACAGGAGGGGATCAGGAACTGGGCATCGAAGGTCCTTTGACATTGCCACGGGCAGAGGGGACACATACTAATGGGGCCGCTGGCTGGCCCCAACCTGAGTGACCGTGCTATCCCCTGGCCCACCTGAGCCTGACTTTACTCTTTACTCTGCTTTACTCTCCCTAGTCCCCCGGCACTTGACATGGGCCCCTGCGGTCCCTTCAACCTGAGCCTGGTCGGTGAAGCGACCACATGCGTGGCGCCCGGAGCTCCAAACGCCTCGGCCCCGCCGCCATCTGGCCGTCCCGGCGGGTCGCCGGCGCTGCCCATCTTCTCCATGACGCTGGGCGCCTTGTCCAACATGCTGGCGCTGGCGCTGCTGGCGCAGGCTGCGGGTCGCCTGCGACGTCGCCGCTCAGCCGCCATCTTTCTACTCTTCGTTGCCAGCTTGCTGGCCACCGACCTGGCGGGCCACGTGATCCCGGGCGCGCTAGTGCTGCGCCTGTACACGGCGGGGCGCGCGCCAGCCGGCGGCGCCTGCCACTTCCTGGGCGGCTGCATGGTCTTCTTCGGCCTGTGCCCGCTGCTGCTAGGCTGTGGCATGGCCGTGGAGCGCTGCGTGGGCGTCACGCGGCCGCTGCTGCACGCGGCGCGCGTCTCCACGGCCCGCGCGCGCCTGGTGCTGGCCGCCCTGGCCTCCGTGGCCCTGGCCGTGGCGCTGCTGCCGCTAGCGCGCGTCGGCCGCTACGAGTTGCAGTATCCGGGCACCTG